TGATTACAAAAATCATCATCATATACAACTGTAAGCAACGAGAGAGCGATAAACAGAATGAGCGAAATGATCAATCAATTAATGAAGTTAAGGGACTGACTGACTGACTACCTCAAGCTCATCTGATCGACTCGGACCTCCGCCTCAACGCAGAACTTGAAGAACGCTGACGAACCACTTAATAGCAACGTACGTCGATAGCTGACTTACAACGAGCGAATAAACGTACGATCAGTCCAGCGCGAGCTGAACCGAGTCGAAAGAGACTCGCTCGCACCAGTGACTACTATATACAACTGCCCCTTCGATGGTATTATGGCTAACAGGTGACGGGGAGCAAATTTAACAACACGCGGTACCGCCAACGGCCACACAAATTAGACGAGCCCAGAACTGCCGACGAATATACGCAAGGACAGGACAGGCGTTTCGCTTTGAAATATGCCAGAAACATCCCGTGCTTGTGACAGCCGGCATATACCATGGAAACCTGCTTACAGAAAACTTATTCCTGTCTACTTAACAACACAACCGTCTGCCTATCAATCTGCTAGCCTGTTGAAACAGTCTTGTCCGGCAGGCCAACCCAGTCCACTTTAACTGTACTCTATCTTTTCTGTCAATCGCGGATGATCAGCAGGAAATAACGTGAAACGGCCACACTGAGACGGCGAACGCTCGAAGCGAAAGAAAAAGGAAAAGAAACTGTGCAGTCGTTGGGCTGGGTTCTATCTGTCACTCCTATACAACAACAGCCTTTTCACAAAGCCCATACTCCAAAACCAATCTTGGTTGCGATGCCAACATCAACGGTGCATTTCTTTCTAAAAACATCGCTCACAGCTATGGGAGAACCACTGTGCATTGTGTGCTATTTCGCTGTTGTGCTGACAGAGTGATACTCATATGTCTACGTCGAAAGAAAAAGAAATAACAATTACTCAGCAATGAACAAAACTGGTGCCGCGTATATTGATAACCTTCTTAAATAACGACTTTCAAAAACTGACTCATCATGCAGGTAGGTGGTAGCCAATCGATTACCTTCGAACATGGGGGCAGTGTGATGCCCTGCTACGGTAATGTTCTAGCTGAAAAAACCCTTAATACGATGTTCTCTGAATCGCGAATGATTATTTAGGACTGCAAGACGCGTTTCCATACCAGACAGCTGACCTAGCAGAAATAAGATTCGTAAAAAATAATATGTAAATATTAACGATCTCAAATTTATTTCATCTGAAGCTGTTACGGATTTTGAAGTAACGAAATACCTCAATAAAATTAAACATATCAGTCACGGATTGAGAAGAATGAAATGTACTACTAATCGCGGTCACGATCAGGACGAGTTTCAGGTACAGTTAATAATCCGCATATTAAACATGTTTCATGAACACTTCTGCTATATGCAACCTACGCTCTAAAATCTGTGAAAACCACCTCTCTGAAGTCGTTAGCCATAAGAAATCCACACCAAAGCATGGTTTTACGTATCACAAGAAAATGTTTATGTATCTAGTATAACACCCAGTCCTGACGCGTATCCGTAGTTATTTCTCAACATAAAGCGGCTGGATACTTTTGGTTGTCAATTTAGCTGTGGCAAACAATGGCTGCGACACTCTGAGTCGCAGCGAAGACCGAACCCTGTCGATTGCCCTGAAACGCTGGGCCGGTTAATCGACAAGTACCGACGCATTCTGTTTAGTTCCATAACCATTTGCCCGGCATAAAACAGTGTTTTGGGTGAAAGTAAAAATAAAACGTTCGTGCATTGGGCTATCTAACTAGTACTGTGAACAGCAGTCATTCAAGGATCAAAAGAAGTACCTTTCATGTGCCGCTACAGTGATCCAAATAATTGGATCCATGGAAGTCTAGAAACCACTTCCGGTATATTTCACGGAATCAGGATAAACTCAGTGACTGAGGACAACGACAAGCAACATTATATTGCGGTAAGGAACACGGTGCCGGCGAAATTGATTTTCATCTCCGCTAGAAAGCACGGTAGAAACGCTATTAAGCTAATCGTGAACGCATGGAATACCGCAAGTGTGCGGGCCGCATCAGAAGTGAAAATTTAGACCATCCGCTGAATGCGCGTATCGGCTTGGGCGTATGACCAAATCACTTGGGATTTTACCATCGCAGGCTTCCGCTATCACCCCTTTACACAAACGCAATCACGGTGTTTATGTCGTGGAGAGTGGGCGATGATCAAAATAAGATATCATGATATGGCACTGGATGAATGAAATCAAAATGAGGTGGAATGGTATTTTGTGAAGACCTGTCACAAAAATCAAAACGGTCTGTTATCATATCGTCGCAGTAATCAGGGTTTGCAGACCGTTTTGTGGCTTTAAAATAAAAAGGAAGTACCACTATCAAACTCAAAAACGAAAATAAATAAATTGCAGCGTGTTGTAATAAAGAATACAAAACAATTCTGAATAATTCAGTAATTTGCATTCTGAATAAAATCGACGGTGAATTCGCAGCAGCACAAAGGTCTGCCCTGACACCTGAAAAGTCGACAAATGAGGTAAAGGTTGAGTGTGGGCTCAGTTCCCTGCTGGTGAATCAAGCAAAGCGGAGGAACGTTCCGACTGCAAACGATGGAAATTTTTTCGTACGGATGGTCATTCGCTGAACGGAGAATGAAGACTCAAAGGCAGGAACAACAAATCTGGGCAAAAGGGCTGGAAAATTGAGAAAATAGCGCCACTGCGGCACACGCCGTATGCAAGAAGCACTAGCATTATACGACTGCCTCGACGGCCATTTCTGAATCAGATCTTCAGCTACCACCTGATCCTTTTCTGCCAACCTTTTGTAAAGAAAGCACACGAAAAGACAGAAAAATAAGCCTCAAATTTTAATCCAGAGGAAGTATTACGGGTACTAGTACTGTTTATGACCGAATTTTGAACATGTTTCAATTGAAAGGAAAAGCAGTGTACACCAGCTGGACGTGATGGCTCTCAGACTTGATACAGCATAAGTTTTATCCATGCGGGAGAAGCAGTTTTAGCAAACCGGAACGAAAAGATGAACCTGAAGCCGAAAAATGATGTTCGAATTTACCACCGCCCATGCCACCATATATTGGTGTTTCGTCATTGCCGAACTCAAAGAACCTACTTGTTCACAAGCAGTAGCAGATGTGTTTTCCGATTCCACGGTTTGCAGCATGAAAGACAGAAAAACAAAATACTTACCTGTTGCCCTTCGAGCTGCCAACCGTGAAATTCGAAGACACACCCGCTTCCAGGCACTTTATTAGCATGGGTTGAAAAAGCAATTCTAAAGAAGTACTTAGCAACTTTAACTGCTCGTGTAGTATTCATGTATCTACGTGACGCTACTGTTATCTTCTCCGTCGGTCATTAGCCTACGAATCTACGGCTATACGGGGCTGTCTTAATCGTGCTTCACTCTACCAACAAAGCACCGGTCATCGTCGTTGTACATGCAGTGGTCCCTTATAGAAACGTCCTGAAAAACATTCTACATTAGCTACTACATGATAGCTTTTCAAAGCACCAGCATCGCGGTGGGTCAATGTAATTTCGGCTTATTAGCATCTCATCGGCGTCGTTGGTTAATTAGTATTTATGTTGCTCTTTTGTAGGCCATTTACACCGTCGCCAGTGCGCATTTTTAGGGATGAGCGGGTCGTAAAACAGCGTAGTTCATGATTTTTCACTGCAACAAAGCGCCTTTTCTACACTCATGCGCACTGTTCATTTCCAGTTTTAATTTTTTGTCTTCATATTTAATCTATTAATTTTATTGTTCAATATTATTGGATGAAAATGCTATTTTTGTGCCTGTAAGAAATACAGCATAATATATGCAATGCGAAATTTATCTATTCTTCTTTAGCATAGCTTACTTGTACGATGATATCCATGCAGAAAAATGCAAATGCATATTTTAATACAATTAAACGATTGAGCTAAAATAT